AAAGCTCACAGTCTTAAAGACCTTCTTTTGAATTCATCTTTAAGCAATGCATTCTCTCCAGCCCAGAAACTACCTCTTTAGTTTATATTTAAATATAATGAGGTGAAGTAAGTCACACAGAGAAAAACCAATACCGTCTGATCTCACTTACATATGGAATCTAAAAAACCAACCAATCAACCCACTCAAACTCATAACAGATAGGTGGCTGCCAAAGGCAGGGGTGGAGAGTGGCTGAAATGTGTGAAGGGGTCCAAAGGTAGAAGCTTGCAGTTATAAAAAAAAAAAAAAAAAGAAGTCCCAGGGATATGACATTCAGCCTGGGGACTGTAGTTAATAATACTGCATTGCAGATATGAAAGTTGTTTAAGAGAATAAATCTTAAAAGCTTACATCACAGGAAAAAAAATCTCACTATGCGTGGTGATGGATGCTAACCAGTGGCTGTGGTGATCATCTGGTGGTACTGGCATGTACAGAGTCATTACATATGCACCCGAAACTAGCATATTGTCCTATGTCAGTTCTCTCTCAATAGAAGAACATGTGTCCCATATCTCAAATATGTCAACAAAACGTGATGACATGTGAGCCCACTGCTTCTGTCCGTTCAACTGACCCTGTAACACATCATCTGACCATCTTTACAACAGTCAGATAAAATTATACTTTTGTGTCATTTAAGAAAAATAATGACTGGTTACGGGTCAATTCCTAAAGAGCTGTTGGTAAAAACACACGCTGCCCTCTGTACTCCAAATAAACCGCCTGATGTGGGTCAGCCTCCAGGTGAAGAGCCTTCTGCATCATCACTTACAGCCTTACTACGGCCTCTGCATCTTCTCATCCGAAACCCGGGTCAGAGGCTTAGGTTCTCAGCTCCGGAGCAAGCTCACGCGAGGGAGGGATCCCTGATTCAAGCTCTTGAAGGGGTTCTTCTCCCTGTCCTTCTAACTCCCAACGCAGGGTTCCACTGCGTGAGGTCACCCCAGGTGACCAGTCTCATCTTCCTGGGGTGATCCTCTTTACTTTGAGATGCCATTTGTTTTCCCAATGATACTAATTACACATTAGTAATGGAAACCACAGAATCTGGAACTTTTCTTCCACTTTCAAGTCGAGTAACTTAAAGATAGTCTAAGTACATCATTTACTGGTATCACTGGGTGTGGTCTGCCCAACCGCGGGATAGCGGGCTGAACAGAGTGCGGCAGGGAGGACGGCCATGGTGCTCCAGCCCTGAGCTGGGGAAGCCGCTGTCCTCAGCTAACTCCTTTCCCTCCTCTTTGTTATCTGTAAAATATGTGTACCGGCCGCTCAATTAAATGAAATCATAATTCATGTGGAAATACTCCTCAAATTCATACATTCTTAAACCATCCTTTCTTTAAATAACATCAATGGGCAATAAACATTAAAAGCATCATAAATTAAAACATCAAGATTCCATTGACCAATTAGAGAAAATAGCCAGATATTTAAAATTAAAAAAAAAAAAAAATCCTGTGTTCACAAAGGAAAGGTCCATGTGGAGAAAGGGTCTTTCTCCTGGTAATGGGAGTTATGGGCTGGTACAGACTCCCTTGTGGACAATTTGGGCACAAAGTCCCACTGTGGTACAGAAATCTCAGTTCTAGGTATTTGTTCTAAAGGAATAATCCGAGGGGTGCCTGGGTGGCTCAGTCAGTTAAGCATCGATCTCTTGATTTCGGCTCAGGTCATGATCTCAGGGTCCTGAGATCGAGCCCCACATCAAGCTCCTTGTCGGGCTCCACACTCAGCAGGGAGTCTGCTTCTCTCTCTCTCTCTCCCTTTCCCTTTGTCCCTGCCCATGCTTGTGCTCTCTAAGATAAATAAATAAATCTTTAAAAAAAAAGAATAATCAGAAATATTGAGTGGAGTGGTCTTTGTACTCATTTGTAATAGTGAGAACTTGAGAGGAATCTAATGTTGCTTTCTAAAATTCTAGCTGAGAATTGATTAAGTATAGTCCATCTCAGTAAGATTAGAAAGTTTTGATAAAATGGGAAAATATGTATTATCTACTATCAGGTAAAGAAAGCAAAGTACAAGAGTATGAGCACGATCTCTGTGTTTTAGAAGCACGGAGAAAAGATTTAGCGCTAAAATACTAAGTGATTTTTCCTTTAGATGAAGATAATAGTTACTTTTTATTTCTTTCTCTGTGTTGCAAGTTTTCTGCAATGACTTATTGTAAGAATATACTTACATAAAAAGTACAAATGCTCTCCAAATGTTACCCTTTGGTGTTTTTTAAGTTTACAATTCAGTAAGTGGCTTTCAGTGGTTCCCATCACCTTCAGAGAAATAATAATAAAGTGCATAACAATTTCACCTTGGAAAAAAGAAGCCTGTGTGTACGCACAGGTTTCTGAGAATTCAGAAGGAGTTTAGGCATGATCTACACTAATGTCAACGGCTTTTCAAAGATTACTAAACATAGGAATGCAGGGACATAAATCTTAAAGTTTTTAATCATTTTTCACCCACAGTGCCTAACAGCTTGTTTCCCCTAAACTATTGTCTATCATTGTTTTACAGGTTTTATATCTCTTTAAATATTGACGAAATGACAAGGACCATCCTCACCCAAACCACATTCTACGGAAGATCTCAAACTTTTAAAAGTTCCAACAGGAAAAAAATATTGGATTAGTTATTATACCCCAGGCTCAGGCTGCAAATGTGAATGCATGCAGACTATGTTAGCCTAACCAGACGGAAACGCTGGACGGCCACGTCACGTACCTTCTCCCCAGCCCCCCCACAACCCCCTGCCAGCTGGGGGGGGGTGTGGCCAGCTCTCTCTGGCTGCTTGGGGCCATTTGCCCTCCTGCTGCAGAAGATGCAGACCTACTCCCCGGGTTAAGAGAGGAGCGCAGAGAAATGGAGAGAACACAATGCCATGTGCAGAGTCCATTCCGGGGACGCACGAGATGAAGGAGAGGTAGGCACGTTTATCCAAACGCAGATGAAGGAACAGAAATGTCTGTAAGGAAACCCTCAAATCAGAGGTAGCCAATCGCTTCCCAGGATTAGTCAATCTCTCTATCTGTATTTATACAAACCGAGTTTTTGTATTACTGTGTAGACCTGTATTCAACAGAACTTGCTACACACTCAAAACAAACATGATTTCAACTTACTTTTCAGATCCAACAGAAGACAGAGCTGTCCCGTTTTGTGATTGGATGTGGGCTGTAGTGGGAGGTGACCGGAGGAGTGCAGGCTGCTCGGGGTGGCTGCTCACAGCCTGTTCATCAGCATCACCTGACCACTCAGCCCTCCTGTAGTCCCCATCCCAGAGATGCCCAGCCCTTCACTGCCACACCCTCACCTAGGCACCTGGGGCAGGTCCCACCTGGGGCAGATCAAGGGGAGAGATGGAGAGCTGGGCCCAAGTCCTGTCAATCACAAGCCATGTGACCTTAGGCAGTTGCTGTGCTGGGCCCCTCATGTGCAAGCAAGGGTGCAAGTGACAGGACCCTCTGCACACAGGTGTGAGGCCTGAATGCAGTAACACGTGTGAAGAACTCGGAACAGTCCTGGGCACCAGGAAGCGCCCCATACAGGGAACTAGGATCACCATTTTAGTAGTAGTAGTAACAAGATAACTTAGTCCCCCATCCACCGGTCCATGACACTGGGGGGGGGGGGGGGGGTGACAAGAAAGCAGTGTGATTATGAATTAGAAAAAGAAGAAAATAAGAAAGGAAAACCCAAATTCTGTGCCCAAGCCCCAGCGGTCAGGACTCGAGTGCGAGCAGCTTCCAAATGTCTGAGCCGCTGCCCGCGGGGACAGAACCCAGCGGACCCTGCTTGGGCCTCCGACCCCCCTGCACGCCACTGCATCTGTGCTTCTGATTCGCCTGCCACAGGGTGAACCCGCAGAGCCACGTGTCTGGGGGCCTGTGGTAAAACAGATAGGACTTCACAGGATGATTATGCAAAGACCCCACGCTCCTGCATAGACCTCATTGTTATTCTTCTCTGTCACCCCTTGCGCCCAAAGTACGTAATTGCCCAATAATTGAACCGAAATGTCTAAATGGCTGAAGCTCCTAAAGGACAGAGCTATTTACCAATGGAAAATAGTGGGAAAAACTGTAGCAAGCCTCCCTGGCGCTCCAGGCATTAGCACAAAGACGTGTCCAAGTGGCGCCCCGACCTGCCCCTCCTCCAGTCATTAGCAGGAACAGAGCCATCCTGGCCGGCGCTCTGCTGCTTCTGAGCGGAGCGCCGTGCCTTCTAACCCTTCTCAGGATATAATTTTATGAAAATTGAAGCCAAAGGTAGAAAAAGACATTTTCCTGCTCATGTCAGAAGTACTTCTGGAGGGGAAAGAGGCCGGGGACCTTGCCGTCGGTGCTCCCCTCAACGCAGACGGAAGCAGTAAGCCCTGGAGTGAGGGCTCGGGAGTCACTCGCTCCCACGCCGGGAGTCCTGGGGTGTCCTCGGTGGAGCCCCTCGGTGCTCCAGAGGGACCCGCGCAAGGCACACGGGTCCCCAACACGGAAGCACAGAGCAGCTCAGTTTTCCAAAGCCGTGCAGTGTCCGAAGTGCAGAAATCGGGCTTTCCTCTTTGGACTAGTTCCAAGGCCCCCAGGCCCTTTGCCTTTAGAGCAAGACCTACCCTTCCACCCCCTCACTGCGGCCCTGGATTCACACTGCGGGTAACTGTAAACATCGTCCAACAGTCGGCGAGGATCCTCCGAATGAAGCACCTCGGTCCATGTCCATAGAGAAGGGCCATCGTTCTTCCAGTGGCTCAACCCAGTCATCCGGGGCACCCAGCGGAGTTAACAATTTTAATTATCATTTAAAAAAATGCAATACTTACCATGTGAATGAAGCACGTTGGCACACAAATCATGAAACGAGGATTCTGAATAGAATTTTTGTTGGTTGATGGCATGAGCAATACCTCTTGCTGCCGAAATAAGTTCTCGAAGGCAATATAATGACGACATGACAATCTATGTAAATCAAGAACTGCTTGTGGGTTTATTTTACATTTGAGAAAACAGTGGATTTAATTGTGTGAACCAAAATGTACTGTACAATATTAATGACAGAACATCAAAATGTATAATTAATAGTGCATTGCTTGCTTTGTTTTCATTTATTTATTTTTGTCTGATATACATGCATCTGGAAAGATGCAGCAGGTGCCAGTAAAATTTCTCTATTTAAATCAAGCGCAGGAACTAAATTTTATTCAAAAATTGTGGTTTTACATTATATACACAGAAATTTAATATAAAATGACAATATAAAAAGTTAAAAGAGAAAGCATACAGCCAGAAGGTACAAAGAAAGTTGAATAGATTAAAATGGTACGATATGTAACATATAGGGGGTTTAAGCTGATGCTGGCAATTTACAAGGAAAGGACTCCAACGTCTGCCCCATGTTTTTTTCATTTACCAATGCAGCACGCTATAGAAAGGTCAGCTTATACCAAAGCTTACATTTGTAAATAACTATAAACCGCAGTATTTTACAGGAAAAAAGAAATAGCATTTTTACACATTTTTAAATAATAGCTTGCATACTTTTTTTGCCGAAAGTGGCATTTTTTTTCAGCATCCAGAGGGTTTGGGCATAGTGGCAACTGGGGTGTTTGGTGGTGGTGGTGGTGGGTTTTTTGTTTCGTGGTTTTTTTTTTTTTGTTTTTTTTTGTCTTCAACGTGTAAAACTGTGGCTTCCTAACCCCACGAGTCCTAGACAACTTTCTATCTTCCAACAGCTGCATGCATGTTTCCTTCACAAACCAGTTCTGCATATAAAAGCTCATTTTTTAATTATTAAATAAGTTTTGTGTCTGACACAGCTTTTGATCTGAATGAAATGCCTTTAAGCCTTTTTTTCTTTCTTTTTTTTTTTTTTTGAGTGAAAGGCACAGAAATGCAATTGCAGTCCTCAAAGGGTTAAATCTGACACCACTAGGTTCTGTGACCTTTATTGTCATGGCAACTTTGTAATTTTAGGATGTCTTTTTATCATTGTTATTTGTGTCTTTCTTTTCTGCTAAATAAATGTCTCTGAGTAGTGTGCCCCACTATTTCCTACAAAAGATAGCTTAACATCAAGAACAGATGTTGAAAATAAAGGTCAGACTTTGACTCACGGAAAAAGAAAAATAACATGCACAATCGGACAAAGAGCATATAAATATAACTACAAAATATGTGTAAGAAAAACCAAGGTCCAGACAGCCAGCTCGGCAACAAAAGGGAAGGCTGATTTCGGAGGCTCAGCCAGGCCTAGTGCAGTACAAAGACAATGTGTAGTGCAATGTGCCGCGGTCCCTCGCATACCTGGGGGCTATTGTTTCTCCAGCTCCGTCACATAGATCAGGTGGTCCTCCGGGGACTTGCCGTGGGTCTTACTAAGGTGCAGTTTGACTGCGTGCTTGCTCGCAAAAGTCCGGTTGCAGAGCTTGCACTGGAATGTGGAGCCCACATCGTCCTCGGCAGCCCCTATCGGGCCCAAAGCTTTGTTTGCCAGGACTTTTGAAACATTCTGCTGTTCTTGAATCTGATTTAGTGGCAGCTTGGAGAGATCCTTCAAGCTGAAGCCTAAGTGTGTCTCTAGATGATTTATGTACGTAGAAGCAGTTCTGAACTGAGAGGCACAATCGTTGCAAAAGAAAACAGGATGCCCTGTGTCCAGGTTCTTCAGGAACTTGGTACCCCCTGTCCTCCTCAGCTGATACTTCACGTTGGCCAGCCAGTGGCTGATGGTGGTCATGGACAGCCCGGTAAACTTGGAGATGTGCACGCGCTCCTGAGGGCCCAGGTCCGACATGATGTACTTACCCTCCGGCGTCTCCCGCAGGCTCGAGGCGAACTGGGCCTGCAGGATGAGCAGGTGCTGCGGGTTCCAGTTGGACTGTCGCCCCTTCCTCTTGTGCACAGGTGACAGCTCGTCCAGCGCTTCCTCGAAGCTGCTGCCGTCGGCGTCGGACTTCTCCGACACGGTGGAGGGCGTGGAGGACTTGGGGGTGAGCCGGCCAGTGAGGTTCTTCACCATGTCGGAGATGTCCAGGAGGGCGCTCTCCCGGAGAGGCGACGCCACGGGGTCAGCCGCGCTGGAAACCAGGGGCTTGCTTTTGGACTTGGTCAGGTCGATGGGCTGGTCGCTGTTGTCGTAGTAATAGCGGTCGATGGCGTCCGCCTGCTTGATGGGGGTGGCAGGGTAGACCGGCTTGTCCAGCATGCTGTTGCTGATCTTGTACAGCATGGCCAGAGGGTCCAGCGACGGGCTCACGGGCTTGGACACTTTGCCCAGGTGGGTGTTCATGATGGACTGCAGCGCGCTCAGCGGGTTGATGAAGGAGGGCTCCGGCGAGTGGTCCGTGATGATCCCCAGGTTATTACAGCCGTTGGTGACTTTGGCTTTCAGAGGCTCGGTGCCGTTTGGGGTGTGCGCATCCAGCACACCCTCCTTTTTGGCCTTCCCCGCCTCCGCCTCGGGGCCCTTCTTCTGCTGCGCCTTGCCGCCGCCGTCCTCCGCGCGCGGCAAGTCTTTATTCTCTTTGGCCACGGGGGACACAGCCTTGGCCGGAGAGCCCTTCTCCCTCTCGGCGGGCCGCTCCTCCTTCTTCACGCTGACCTTGCCGGTGACCTTCTCCACCAGCTCCTCCATGGCCGACACGTTGCTCTTGTGCGGCGGTGGCGTGAGGCTCCCCGGGGAGTGCAGCAGTGCGCTGTGCTCTGAGGCCAGCGACTTCGCGCCGCCCGCGTAGGACGGCTGCATCTGCACGCTCTGCACGGCAGGCAGCGGCTTCACGGCTCCGGGCAGCTGGTAGGCCGCATGGATGCTGGGGTAGCCGCCCCACGAGGGCGCGCCGTTCTGCGCTTTGCTGATGGCCGTGGAGACCGTGTTCTCCAGGGACTTCAGGATGTCCACCCCGCCCTTGGGGCTGTCGTCCAGGTCCTCCTCGCGGAGGTACTGATACAGGGCGGTGGGCTCGAACTTCTCGGGGGCGTCCTCGCTCTCCTCCTTGACCTTCTTCTCTGCCTCGCCGGCCGCCGGCGCCTTGTCCTTCTCGGGCTCCTTCTTGTCCTCGGAGGGTGTGGCGCCCGCGGGAGAGTCGGGCTGCTTCTTGATGTGGGAGGCGGGCAGCCGGGTGTGCGTGGTGGGGGGCAAAGGTATGGACTGGATCTTCTCTTCCACCACGGGGTCCAGCACCAGCTGCTTCCCCTTCTTGGAGGCCGAGGTGGTCACTTTGAGGAAGTGGCCGGTGACCATCATGTGGGCGGTGAGCTGCTGCAGCGTGTCATGTGAGCTCCCGCACTCCATGCACTTGAGGATCTGCGCCTTGCGGGCCTCGAACTGCCAGGTGTAGCTGGCACCGTTCTGGTAGCCGTAGCGGTTGTTGGGCGTCACGTAGGGGTTGGCGGCCTTCTGGTCCTTGGCCGACTCGCTCAGCACGGCGTCGGCGGCAAGCCCCGCCGGCTCGGGGGAACACGGGGACACCAGGTCCTGCAGGGCGCGCTTCTTGGTGGAAGGGACCAGCTTGGTGATGGCTGGCACTGGCTCCTTCAGAGGCACTTTCTGGTAATGCTTTGTCTTGATCATGTGGACGCTCAGGTCCTGCAGGGACTCGAAGGAGTGGCCGCAGTACATGCACTTGAGCACCTTCTGGGCGTCCTCCTTGCCTTCCATCTCCATAAGCGAGCGCTTCCTGGGCTTGGACCACCGCTTGGTCTTCTCGGAGTCCTTGTCCCTGTTGTCGTCACGGTAGTGCCCTGTCTCGTTCATGTGCACGGTCAGCTCCACCAGCGTGTCGTACGCGGCGCTGCAGTCCTTGCAGCGGAACTTGCTGGCGCCCGTGAACACCGAGCCGTACAGTTTGTTGTTCTGCCTGTAGAGTTGCACGGTGCTGAAGAGGCTGGGCTCGGGGAGCAGCCCGTACGAGGACGTCTGCTGCAGCGTCTTGGCCAGGGCGGCCTGGTGCCAGTCATAGCCCGAGCCGCCGGAGCCCGAGCCGGAGCCGGAGCTGGGGGTGCTGGCCGTGGTGCCCGTGGTGCCCGCCATGCTGGCGGGGGGCGTGGGGGCGGGGGTGGAGCTCTCCTTCTGGCCCGCATCGTTGTTGCTGGTGGTCGAACCCGACTTCTTCAAATCCAAAGCTAAGCTGGACCAGCAGGACTCGGAGAACAAGTTTGCATACACAGCCTTGATTTGAGCCAAGCTGTCCTGGGGATAGGAGACGCTGTCCGGGCCCTGCGGATCCTCCTTCTCTTCCCTGGAGGAAGAGCTTTTGAAATGGACTAGCTGGTCGCTGTTCTCACTGAAGGGCGACCCGTAGCCAGCGTCCTGGTTCGTCGCGGTGCTGACGGGGGAGTTCTGGTAGCTCTGAGCTTCCTTGATCTCCGCGTCCTCATTGCACACGTAGTCGCTTTCCGGGATGTCCAGAGACAGCCCATCCTCCTCCACGTTCTCTTCATCTATTTCTGCTGCCTTCAGTTCTTCCTCAGGAACATAAGCTAGGAGAGAAAAATGAAACACAGTGAGGAGAAATAAATCATCTTCAAGGACGCGGCCTCCCCAGCAGTTAGATGATCTTTAAAAAGATGTTTCTCAGCCAAGCGCCCAGGCTGCAAGGCTCCCCCCGCTTTGGAATGACCCAGTCTTCAGCTCCTGCGGAAATAAGGTTTCCAGCAGGACGATATCCCCTCTCCTCCCAACTGAACACACTATCAGCAAAGGAGCCTCCACTAAAGTGTCAGTATCTGCCCCCTTCTTAAAAACATCAGTCTGGCCAACACAGCGGGGCAGCAGGGCCCGAGGGGGAGCCCGGCCACCTCCTCCTGGAGCTTGTTCCTTCCCTAAGTGACGTGCGGGTCCGTCATGCCTCCCCATCAGGTGGGACCTGTCAACTCGCAGGGCAAGATATCCCACAGACAGTAGCATAGTGGTTTCCGTAAATAAAGAGCTTCCTCAAAGGCCAGCGATAAAAACACTCTGGTCTTCACCAAAAAGAAGGACAAAACATAGCACCTCCGGCCCCCTGCCTGGACAGCGCAGACATCACCTGCAGGGGACACCACACAGTCGTACAAAGCAGCATTATTTACAAGAGCCAAAAGGTGGAAACAGCCCAAGTGTCTGTGGACAAATGAATGGATGAACCAAATATGTGTAGGTACACGATGGAATAGTATTCAGCCTTGAAACGTGGGGAAACTGATGCACACTATAGTGTGGATGAAGCTGGAGGGCACTGTGGGGAGAGGAGCCACACAGGAAAGGGCACGTACTGTAGGATTCCACGTAGATGAAGCGCCTGTGGTAAGGAGTCCCATTCGCCGGGACAGAGAGCGGCGTGGGGTGTGCGGGGCTGAGGGAGGGCGATGGGGTGGTCGTGGTTTGCGGGGACACAGGTTCAGCCGGGAAGACAGAAAGTTCCACAGACAGATGGTGGGGATGGAGGCACAACAGTGTCAACGTGCTTAATGCCACGGAACTGTCCACTTGAAAATGGTTAAAATACTAACTTTTGTGGGATGAATATTTTACCACAATGAAACTTCTTTTTCAATTTTAACAGGGCCAGTATGTATGCGCTCTGACAGCCTACCTCAGGCTACACGTGCGCAGTGGAGCGACTCCTGGGGTTGAAGGCGTCACCTCCCAGAGGAAACGCCAGGATACTGACAGGTGTCCCGAGACTGAGAGGTTTGGAGGGCACATAAATCGTTAGATGAAACCCGATTTTCTTACTTCAGGACATTTTAGATACTTTAATAGGTGACCAATCTTGTTAATTCCCAAGGGGAACTAACTGCACGCATGACCTCTTAACTTATTTGACCAACATAATTTTACTTAAATTTTTTAATTTTTGTTTTTGAGGAAACAACGAGCCAAACTCATGTTCCATGCACTCCTTGGGAAATTTGGGATTAAGATATTTTCCAGGAAGCCCCTAGAAAAATGCACTGCTATGATGCGAGAGGGGTGTCTCATTAAATATGATCACTCATTATCACGTTATCAGAGCCCGATCCTAAGGGAATGCGGCAAAGAGCACACGCGTCTTCAGGAAAGGTTGGGAGGATAGAAGGAGAGGGGCGGACGCCGGGCGCAGGAGGAAGAGACAGGGGAGTACCAGCACCCGCAAACAGACGGCTTCGGGTTGGGGTGGAGGTGAGCACTCTAGGGCATGAGCACTCACAGTGCCCCGAGGACGCGCGTAAGCCATGCACACGCACACACATGCACACACATGAGCACTCACACACACACGCATGAGCACGCACACGCATGGGGAATCCCACCGACTCAGTCATTTGGTCAGCCTCTCCAGCTGGACCCTTCAGAACCCCTGCACACACTGTGGGCCCATCCCCACCCCTGGCGCTGGTATCGAGCCAGCTGAGCATGAGCGTTCACGTGGCTCACAGCTGAATCCCACACAGAAGAGCCGTCCACGAACAAATGTGGCCATTGCAGTTGGTACCTTCCCGCCAGCATGGAAAATAACCACTAGTGCGGGAGGCTTAACTACACACTGGCATCTGGATTATGCTCCAGACAATCCTATGGCCCTCCTGTAAAAGGAAAAGCTCAGAAAATTAAAAAAAAAAAAAAAAAAAAAAATGATTGCCGAGTTAAATGTCATCTTCATTTGTCTATAATTATTAAAGGCTTAGGATGGTCCAGGGTTCTGAAGTTCGAAGCTCAGGTCCTCAGCCAAGGGCCCCAGGCGGCCTTGCCACCTCTTCGCAAGCTGGGCCTGGGCCCCGAGGTCCACCTCTGTGGATTCTGATGGGGGCATCTGAGGCTCTGAAGCATCTGGACAGGGCAGAGTCCATGGGAAGGTGCAGGAGCGAACCCACAGGCGCCGGCCGGCGGGCCCTCCCGAACTACCTCCAGTGGCAAGCCCACAGGCAGTCCGCCAACCAGGGTCCGCGGGAGGAGGCCGCATACTAGACTCGGTCTGTCCACTTCTGTGAAAGCAACACTCATGCCCTAGCAAGTAATTAAAACTAAGTTCAAGGAAAGGGTTGTTGTTGCTATTGTTGTTATAAAGAGAGAGAAAGAGAGCACTAGCAGGGGAGGGGGGGCAGAGGGAGAAGCAGACTCCCCGTGGAGCAGGGAGGCCAACACGGGGCTCGATCCCAGGACCCCCGGATCATGACCTGAGCCGAAGGCAGATGCTTAACGACTGAGCCACCCAGGTGTCCCTCAAGGAAAGGTTTTATCTGAACCCGTTTGGCTCAGCCTGGGAGGCCCATCGCTCTGGGTCTGTCCCCTGTGTCACCTGTCGGCTGGTCTGTCTCCCTCACTGGATGGAGGCATGGCTGCCCACTGTCTACACGGCGGTGGGCACCCGTCCGTGCGTGTGGAATAAAGAAAGGACGTCTGTCTCGGCTCTGGGAACCCAGGATAGGAAATCCCCGGTCCCACCACTAGGGTTTGTCCGGCCCACTGGCCCTCACCCTCGGAGGTGGCCTCTCCAGGTCTGGAACGGCACAGACATGACTATGCTGGCCCCTGCTTGCTCCCTCCGGCTCTCCCTCCCCCGGCCCCAGTGGAGTGGACTGTCATCAGACCACACTCGGTCCCAGGCCGACTTCCTCCTCAGGCCATCCAGTCCACACCTGGAAGTTCCTGGGTTGAGCTGCTATGATTTCCACGCACAACTCCACACCCCCAGTGTGGCTATTACCCGTGTGTCAGGTAGAACCACACAGAGCCACCCCCAGCCTCTTCCACAAGGAAACCCTCCTAAGAAGTATGGGTTTTCGGTGAGCCTCTCCCCCACCTGGATACCCGTGTCCACGGTGTCCCAGGAGGTGGGGTGTGGCCGGGAGGGATCCCCGATGCGCCTGCTTTGCTGGACTCATGGGAAGGGGGCCCCAGCACGCTCTAAGCTGAAGCCCGGGATCCTACCTGCTTTCCCTGACCCAAGCTCAGCACGCCCACCCTCCAAGCGCCCCTGTGCGTCAAGGTCCCTCCTGCCCCAGTCACGCTCCTGGGGACAGTGTGTGTTGACCCTCCCACCCCTGGGCCAGGGCACCGGCTGTTGCCAGCCACCCCTCCCACGGCTCTTGCCTATCGCACTCTGGTCTCTTTCAGGCCGATGTTCACCGGTTCCAGGAGTCTTCCAGTGTAAGCCTATGACCCCTGAATCTGTGTACCACCCCCCCCGCCCCGGGTCTGCTGGTCACAGGCCCATCAGGGGACGGCACCTGAAGCCTGGCCTTTGTCATGCCTTCCCACATGTTTTCAGAGCCAGCCCTGTGTCTGGCACATAGAAGGAGCTCCAACTGGTATGACATGAATTTGTCATGATGTGAGTGTTCCAGACACTCCCAAGTCAATTATGTGCAAACAGAATGTTCCTCCTGTCCCCTCCCCAAATAACAACACACTTTCTCCTGAACTAGTATTCCCCTGAATCAGTTGTTATGAACCATCCCAAACAAGTTACCCATTCCAGAAAAGCGACAGTTGTCCTTGTTCCCAAGCCCTGCATCCAGCACTGCCCCCACCTCCATAATGCAGACCCCCCACGCTGCCCAGCACGCACTGCAGAGCCTTCCAGCCGGGCCTCCCCATCTTGTCCTGCAGCCTTCTTCCTCCGGGCCGGCCCAGGGGCCCCCACTCTCGCAATCCCAGAGTTAAGACCTCCGCGAAAGCCATGTCCTGCACAGAGGGTACGAATCCCCAGGCGGACCCCTCCCCCTGCCACGTGTCCAGCCTTGGGTGCAACCTGGTCCAGGGCAGGACCCCCCACTCCCACCTTGTGAACAACACTTATCCTCAAGGGGAGGCTCAGATGTCACCTCCATCATGACACCTGTCTTAATCCTTGCCAGAATCCACCATCCCCCTGAAGGACTGAGAGATGTTTACCTGCCCCTCCTCTTAGACTGTGAACTTTCACTCCACTCACACTGCTGAGGCCACCCCGCCTGCCGCTCGGGGGGCCGTGCTCATTTTATCACCATCTTCTACCCCATGAGCCTCCGGGGCAGCATCACTGAGATGCCTGTCCTGCCGATGAGGAAGCCGCACAGCTTTCCCCGGGTCCCACAGGGAAGGAACCAGGCGGTACCCACATCCGGGTTACCTGACTCCCGGGCAGGTCCTTCCATCCAGGCACCTCGGGCTGAAGCTGATCTCCTTCATCTGCCAGCATCTCACACCAGGGAGCATGTCCAGTAAACGCCATGGACGTGAGGGACCCAAAGCCATTCCGCAGGGAGTATTTAGAACACCTCTCATGAGCCAGTCATCGTGTCTAAAGGAGACTGTCTCACCAAAGAAGCAAGAGGAGAGAGTCTGAAATGTGGACACTCTGAGGCCCAATATATTTTACTTTTGGACGTACAGCCAGGAACACGGTATGAAATACAGAAAAAGCTTTATGCACGAAGACGTCCTTCACAGTATCATTCCAGACAAAATGTGCCATGCTCTAAATCGTCAACAATAAAAGACAATTCAGTGATTTGTAGTTTATTCCGAGGATGGA